CAAAATTAGAAGGAAAGTAAGAAAGTTTAGTAAGAAATCTTAACAAAAAAATTTGGGTGAGTTCCAAATCATTATGTGTAGAATATTTTATAAATTATATGATAAAAAGGAAAAAAACTTTGTTTATGACTTTTAGTTTTCCAAAGATTTTCCAAAAAAAAACGTTTTTGTTCACAAAAAACTTTGTTTATGACTTTTTAGATAAAACATATAAGAATTAAATGTTAGTTTTCGTATAGGGCCCAAAAAAATTGCAGATCCGGCTCTGCGAAGAATGCATATTCGTGGTAAATGTAGTGACGAATGTTGCAATTGTCTAGTTCGTAGTGAATTAGTCGGTAATTAAATGCATATTTAACGACGAATTAGTGATAATCACCCATTGTTGCTAATTGAGACATTACAATAGTCTAGTCCGTCACTAATTTTTCCAACGAATATCTGATGGAAAATATTTGTTAGTAATTAACTACTGATCTAACGAATAATTTAAACTCGCTACTAAATAGTAGCAAAACACGGACTATAATTTTCGATAAATGTACGAAAAAATTATGGAGACGTTGATTTATCCACTGGTATACTATCGCTAAGTTGTGTCGTTATAGAGTCTATATGCTATAGCGGTTTTCCTGTTGGTTAATCTTTGTTCTTTGATTTGAAATTTCAGCTTTGGAAAACATATATCAAACGACCAATGATTTTGGTTGGACCAAGCTTAGGAGCAACCGTGGCTGTTGATTTCACTGCTACTTACCCGGAAGCTGTAAACTTCCGGTTTATCATATCCATCAAACTCTTTGGGTTAAACCCCACCTCAATAGCTCACTCTCTAAATCCTATTTTTCCCAATTTTCAGGTTGATAAATTGGTTCTCATTAACGCCAATGCATATTCAGAAGGAACCGGTCGGCTTAAAGAGTTACCAAAATCAATTGCTTACGCTGGGGTTGGTCCGGAAAACTCTTATCATACTCGATAATAATAAAGAGTTTTGTATTCATTTCCTTGTTGTCCATTTCAGGTTAAGTTGTTGAAGTCATTCCCTCTTCGCCTTTTGGCAAATGTGTTAGCCTTTTCTTCATCGCCCTTATCCGAGAATATAGATTGGACTAATGTAAGATCAAATCTCCCTTTCATTGGTTTTTTTTCATACAACAAATTGATGTAGTAAATGAATCTGCTTTTCTGTAGATTGGCCGGTTACATTGTCAAATGCCGTGGTGGGAGAATGCAATGGTCGATTTTATGATTAGCGGAGGCTATAACGTCGCTTCACATATCAAATTTGTAATTAAAAATACTTTACATAGCTAAACATGACGAAAAATCGGTTCATTTATATATTATCTGACTTTTGTTTATGTTTTGGATGTAACAACGCAGATCAACCATAAGACGCTCGTCGTATGCAGTGAGAACGATCAAATCGTTAGCAACCAACTCTCAGTTGTAAGTTTACGTTAATCGAAACATTGCAAAAATTTGTTAAAAGTTTCTTTTCTCAATTCAAGCTTTTTAGTTTCAACCAAGGATTTTCCACGGCTGAAGGATTTTGTCGGGGTTTTGCGGTTTAAATTGATCAGAAAAGTCGAGGTCCTTAAGGCATAGTCGGACCGAACTATTGATGGAATCACAAATTTATCGGTCTAACCAGCTATGTTGTTCTGGATTTTACAACACTAATTTTAACCATGTCATGAACTAAAACGCAGAAATTGTTGTGCGAGCTACAAAATGCGGTTTTCCGGGAAGTACTAGATTCCGGTCATCTTCCACATGTTGAGAACCCTAAACAGATCGTGAAGCTGATATCAGATTTCGCCAGTGGAAATATCAACTGATTCCATTTACTGTAGTAACTCTGCTTCAAGCTCATCAAGTGGCTACAGAGGAAGGAGTTGAAATGTTATACAAATAGATTAGTCTAGAGCTTGGGATTTGGATGGCTATATATATAATTAAGGAAATCATTATGTATTCCTTTTCATTTTTAAAAAGGAAGCTATTAATTATTTTCGTAAGCATTTTTAAGAATATTGATTTAGTTTCAAGAATGTAGGAGGGGATGAAAGCTTCAAAGTCATTTAAGTTTCCATTGTTTGTTTGTGTTTCTTTTTAATTGCGTCATGCGTATGTTTTTCTTTCAGTTTCTTTTAATGTAAACACAGTTTCTCTTATAGTATTAACTTTGTTATTTACACCAAGTGTGTGTTAGCTCAATGTCGAAAACCTTCTCAAAGGTATATGCGATTTAGTTCAAACTCTATTTGTAAAAGTTAACTTTGTGGTTGTGTGGAAGCTGTAACTGACAATACATTGCAGGTGCCTTTTAACATTCAACTCTCTAAACATCATCAGGCTTCTTTGTATCAATCAGTGAAACAATATCGAAAACTTCTTTGTTCATTATGCAGGCTATTGGATAAAACTGCAATCAAATGCAGCCACTGAATTTGGGATGGTGTGAGAATATAAGTGATGATGGAGTCATGTGTTTAGTTTATGGCTGTCCTGATCTAAGAACTCTTGATCTCTGTAACTTTGTTCTAATTACAGGTAAAGCCTTGTAAAGTTTAAGGCTTACGAAAACCCGAATGAGAGTTTTTTTTCCCCCTTCTAAACTCATGCAGGAGACGTTTGAAGAAAACGTTTCCTTTTTCTTAACTAATTATTTTACCTTTTCTTTTTGGGTTTTAGACATTTTCTTAAGGTTTTGTTTTGCTATTTAAACACTTTTAATTTGTAGCCAGGAGGCATATATTGATTATTCTTAATAGAAACTGTCAGAGTTTTCTCTTTTCGGTGGATTCTAAAACCATATTCTGGTGGATTCCAGAGTTTATTCCAAAACGTGATTTTGATCTAAGTTTAGCGTTTGCTTTTCGTAGGGTTTTCCGACTGCGTCATAAACATTTTTGTTGTTGTTGTAGATGAGAGTGTGGTGGCTTTGGCGAATCGGTGTGTACACTTGAGGTCATTGGGTTTATACTACTGCAGAAACATGACAGACATAGCAATGTACTCACTGGCTTAGAGCGGAGTAAAGAACAAGTAAGAGTTGTGGAGATCCGTTAAGAAAGGCAAATTTGATGACGAAGAACTAAGAAGCCTTAACATTAGTCAATGCACTTACCTCACACCTTCGGAGGTCCAAGCGGTCTGCTATACATTCCCCGCGCTCCACACTTGTTCGGGCAGGCATTCGCTCGTTATGAGCGGTTGTCTGAATTTAAAATCGGTTCACTGTGCCTGCATCCTTCAGGCTCACCGCACCTACACGGCTTACCCTCATTCTGCTCATTGAACAAGTGTTTGAGCCATATGGGTCTCTTTCTGGTATATGTACAGTAAAATAAGAATATGGTTTGTTATTGATATCGACGGCAATACAAGC